TGTGTGTGTGTGGACTCGATTAAGGATATAGATATATGAAGATTTTTAATTTCATTTACAATTTGCCTTGTACAAATGCCTTGTTAGTCGTTGTCAAATACTGTGAATATCCGAGGCAAAGGAGGGGCGACAAAGACATCGAAGTCTTATCAAGAATTCCAATTTTGATGCTAGAAAATACTTCTTAAGAATATTTTAGAGTATTTTAAGCAGTAAAGTCCAGTCGCGCATCATTACTTTGACTCTCAATTTACAGTTTATTTTAACTAGCAATAAAAGTTGTACAGGTCTTTATACCCGTAATTTTGTTTAGTTACCATCGCTTACCTAATTATTAATTATACACTGAGTACACGTCGCTTCCTTCCTTCGTTTCGCCGTAGGATATTGTGTATGAAATAAATAAAATCGAATATATGAAACATCTCGAAATATAAACGATATGAGCAAGGGGGTAAAATAAAGTATTTATAATTTTATTCATAATTATTTATATTGATTTGAAGATACGCATTATATAAAAGATGTTAAGTATATAATAAAAGTTTGAAACTCTAAAACACAATATTAGAATTGATAACAATGGCAATAACGTTTAAGACCATGTACACCGAAAGCTTAACTTGTCTGCGTTAAAAATAAAAGATCTATTAATCAGCAATGGAATAGAAATACTCGTGCTCAATATAACGATGCTCGAGTATGTTGCGCGGAGAGGCAATACAACGGAATGGCCATTTTTTGTCAACACTCGATTTCTCGCCCCATTTAATTTGTGTGCCGTGGGCTATATACGAAAATCGATAATTAAGGGGTGAATTAAAAAAAATAAGCATTGCAAAAGCAACAGTTATTGTAACACCTCAAAAGGAATATCGGTGTTAACTATGAAATTTGATATTTCCCTCATAAAATGGTAATTTGATGACAGCTTCTGAATGAGATATCTTAGTGTTATTCTGATGGTTCAATAATTCGTTTCGATTAAAAATAAAGTCATTTTTTGCATTTATAATTCGATTAAGTCAATATATAAAAAAATTAAATAATTAAAAGCATCTGTTTTGAATACCTAATTGTCAATATCATTCAATCTTTCAATGTATGGAACTGTCATTTGTGTCGTGTCGAAAATCACTTTTTCAAATACAAAAATTTGTGGGTTTTTTTCCTTATTGGAAAAGCGTCAGGACAGGCATTGTGAAAACCGATTTTTTTTCGGGGAAATATTATAACCAGTCAATCTTCTGTTTAATATTAAGTTTTATCGCGAGATCCTCTTAAGCAACAAGTAAGATATAAAAAGTTTTGTTCAGAGAAATGATTTGTGAAATTGCGATCTCGGTTATAATTAGTGGCACGTGTCTATGGTGGTTTTCGATCCTTTTTTCATCCCTGTAAGAGTGGATGACTGATGTTTTGATGCGCAGACGCCGGTTAGGCAGTGCACAGCGTTCCATTCCTGAGGCAGCCTTAGCCCGCAATATTTTGCTAAGATGCATTTGCCTACACTGCCTACTGCCGATGTTTCATTACAGCAGACGAAAGTTTAAATATGAACATAGGTAGCAAGTGAACCCAGTTATATGTTCGAAATCAGGTACCTTAATCTCTTTGCACGACAATGATTATCTCTATAAGCACTACATGCAAAGAGGCAATGTCAAAGTTATCTGAACATTTCATTGTGAATATCATTAAGTTTGATTATACACCTTTCCTCGGCACTTGTTGTCGGACGGTGACCATTTCATTGTAATTATGTGTATAATGTTTATCATAAGTCTTAATTGATGACAGTTAGATATTTTAGGCCTAAGGTGAAACCCTATTATATATCAGAGATCACGTAAAAATACGCCCTGAATCTTATGTCACTTTGAATACAATTGATTATTCTGTATTGTATTTTTGTGCCTTTCATTTATTTGTATTGACGAACTCGCTAATGAAAAATACAGTAGGTATTAGTCAACGGTCCCGATCGCGTGGTGGCGCGACGATAGCGGCGGCGAGTGACGTCAAAAACCTATCGAAAACCCGGGCGTATTCACGTAAATTACCAAAGCAAATGAACCAATCCTCGGCCGCGTTCACGCATGCAAATCTCGTTGGGCGTACGGCTCAGGGCTAAATACGATTTACGCGTGGCGAGAGAACGTGCAAACGCGTGTATCCTCTTAACCTGGGATGGGGCGTATCGAATGATATATCGCGGTGCGCAGTGAGTTTTTTTCTTTGTCCGGATACCGCGTGTGTCGAAAATATTTCAGATCACATTTATACGTTATTTCGCCTGTATCCTGTCGATATTGCACTTTTTCTTGGATGTTTACATACGTAAATGTTGTCGATAATGAAAAACGTCGCTGACGCATGTTAAAAATGGTTTTGTGTGTACAATTTTATTCTATACTAGCTTACGCCCGCAGCTCCGCTTGCTTGGAAATAAAATGAATTCCTACTTGTTTTATGTTGACTAATCACGCCGTCAACCATGATCTGATTCCCAACCTGACCCCGCTTTTGGTTCAAATTCTTGTCTCAATATAGATTCCAGTTCTGTTATAATGAAAAGAAGATAACAGCGAAACGAAATAAAAATTATGCTATATATAACTCTGGGCCATAAAGTATTACCATATTTTATGAAATTCTGTCTAGTAGTTTTTGTGGAGTTCCCGAACAAATGCGCAGACAGATAGACATAAATTATAAAACACTTAAAAATGTATTGTGTCAACGGTTATCATACCCTTAGAGTATTTTTTCTCAAATACCTTTAATGTACAGATTTTTCTCTCTAATGTTATATTATATTTATGTCAAAATAGATTTTAATAGACAGTTTATTAAATGTATGTGAATGTCAGCAAAGTTGTTGACTACAGAAACTCAGTGTTTCACAAGAAATTCAGTGGGTTGCTGGACGTCTGCATGATATACCCAATAGCATGCATACATTGATACAGAACATATAATTACATCGTTAAACGCGAAAGAACTAATGTTTAATTCAAAATAGCTTGTTAATATATTGATTAAGCCGATAATAGTACATACTCTTAGAAAATTGTTATTTTAATTAGAATGACTCGATTTTTCATTAATGGTTTTTTTTTATAAATCAACTTACCTAAAATAATTCTGTAGGAACGAAATACGAACAAAAAATAGAAGGTAAGAAAATAATACGCCTCTGTTAATTAAAACCTTTCACCACGATTTTAATTAATTGTTCATTATCCCGATTCTTCTAATCCTTCATTTATACACTAGCGTTTTTTAATGTCTTCGTTTGTGTAAAATAATAATTTTTTATATCCTTTACATCGAATTCGAATTTAACACGGTTTTGCTTCTGATCGCTTTTCCAAGCCTGATCCCGATCTCGTTCTCGAACCCGCTTTTGATACCTGTGTCGGTACGGTTGCAGTCTCGATTTTATCCCTTTACCGATTGATGACGTTTAAACGAGTGACAATCTTGTAATTATCAACATTCTCTAGCGATTCTTCGGAGAATTCCTGTCTAATGGAGAATAAAAGTACAATTATTATTCGTATTTGGAGTTGCTTCTTTACAAATATCGTAGAAATTGTTCCGCGATATACACGATACACATTTCTTTTCTTTCTCGGGTGACAGATAATTTCCAAAGAGCTTCTCTTTCAAATTTCGAAATATTTTGCATGTTTTAGTCTTATGGAGTACCAAACATCTCAAACATAAAGTTTATGTATAAATGTGAATGTTTTTGTAATTTTAATACTAGTCGATTTTAATATGCTATATACCTAATATTAAATAAATATTCGTATTAGCGAAATGGTCATCGAAGTTGGGAAAGAAAATGTATTCGGAAGTGGGACGGAACTCAAAATTTAAATGAAGATCGATATTGAAAATCAAAATGTAGCCAGAATCAGCATCGAGATTGGAATCAGAATCGAAAAATCGTATGGGGCAGAAACATTAAGAAATTAAATAAATATGCACCTAAAGCTTTTTCATGAAATACTAGCCATTAGTGGATAACGAAATAGAATTTTCGATTTCTGAGTAATTATCAAACTTTATAATCGCTTAGAAATCGTGCGCCTACATGACCTACCTACATGACCACGGCCATATATACATAAGTATATATGGCCGTGGTCATGTAGGTATCTGTAGGTATTCGTGTGCATGTAGTTATCTACATGCACACGAATGCAGCGAAAAAAATTCACTTCTGATATTTATTGATATTTCTTTGGTGAACGAAAAATAGAGTAATTGGTATTTTCTTGTAATATAAAATAAAAACCAATTAAACCGAAAAAAATTGTAGTACAATAAAATACTCTTTTAAGCACATCACTAATCGATTTAAATAAACAAAAAATAATAACATTTATATAAGTATATACTTTCAGTTTGTGCTTTAGTTCAATTTAAAAAAACGAAAGTAAATCTCTTTGCAGACATGAGTAGGTAAAAATCATCTGAAAGATAAATTCAGCATCAGTTCCTGTCGCTTGTAAGTTTCGCGTGCGCTAACGACTTGGGCGATCAACGGCGCCGTCGTGCGACACACTGAGGAGATTTGTAGCGCTTGTATTGAAAAAAATCTCGATGTAACTTTTGGTAGGAGTTATTCTATCGTTGTATATCTATATAGATGTTCCTTTAAGGAGTTCGCAATTGAATCATTGTAAAAACAGTGCATATTTCATAACTAATACAGAATTCTATAGAAATAATAATACTCAGTTGAGTGTATGTGGTATTGAGTGTCTTTCTTTTCGATTATACCATTCGACTACAGTATACTCAATGCGTTCGCCGCTTGGTATATACGGTAGTTTTCCTTATAATATTTTCTTATTTATTATAACGAAGTTCCTTATCTCATGTTACACTCAGGCGCTCGGCGAATGGGAACTACACGAAAAAAAAGTGTAACCGCAACGAAGAACGCTGACCGCTGTTATTTTATTTAAGATTTTTATGAATTTGCCATGCTGACTACACTGGTTCTTGGCCGGTCACCGAAGTTAAGCAGCGTCGGGCTCGGTCAGCATTTGGATGGATGACCACCTGGGAACACCGCGTGATGTTGGCTTTTTTTGTTGTTGCTTTCATTTTGTGATAATTTATAATAAAATATTATTTATGATTTTATTATAATGCTTTATTACCATTCCTTCATTCTTTTTCTTGTACTTTTCGTTCCATTAATTTCAAAGGTAGTCAATTTGTTGCAGTATGTTTGTATATAATTTATAATTCCTTTTTTTTTCTTACCTAAAATATTTAATAGAACTCTTGGATTGTTCCAGTTCTGGAGAGTATTGAATTTGAAACTTTCAATAAATAAATATCTATACAAATATGTGAAAGTGACGTCTGTTGCTCATTTCATTATTACATAATTCAGCAAATTGACAAACTAAACAAAGTCTTCCATAAATAAAACAGATGACGCCGTTTAGTGTTTTTTTTTTAATAAAAAAAATGTTTATTGACAATTTACAAATATCTCTTACTGTTTATTCACTTATATTATTATGATTTATTTAATTACTTTAAATTTTTTTAATTAATATGATTGTCATTATTCAATTCATAAAATATATTCACATATAGCTAAAGGAATTTCGTTATAACCGAGTGTCCCAAAGACACATCATGAGTATTTTGTTCTATATTTATTTATTGGTTTACTTCAATCATAAATTTTTTCAATAACCATTGATTTCTATGTCCTACATTTGCTGGACGTCCTGCGTCTAAATAATTTCATCTATCAATTTATCAAACTGATAGAATGAATAATAAAAACTTTATTACACTCTTACAATAATAAAATGCGATTACAAACATTTTCGACATTTTTTCAAGATCAGCATGTCTAGGCATGGTAAATAATATTTTATTTTTGTAAATTGGGAAAGCTACTGTAGGTTTTTTGCAAACCGATACTAGAATTGATTAAGATCTTCATAGTTATTGTCTGCCATTTGACGTTTTCAAGTAGATTAATCAATTAGTGAACTCAAATTTCCGTTATGAACACCAAAACAGGAAAATGATACTCGTATACCGATGCCTTTGTGAATGTGCTATTATAATGCATCGCCTCATAGCGCTGTAACGTAACACTTCGAAAAAATCTGAAAAACGCTCGATGCCGTATAGTCCAATCTCGAAATTTTTCGCAATTTTCGAGTTCAGTGGACTCGAAAATGTGCACACATACACGTTTTCGACCTCTACAAACCCAAGCATGCGGTAGCTATATAGGGATGCCGCGACACCATCTATCGCTTCTCATTGTTGGGTGTTACGTTAATTTACGTTTCAATTTTGATACGTTCATATTTTTTGCTTCTTTCGCATTCTTGGGTCTCAAAACTATAATTAATAGGATACGTATTTATTAATTATTAGATTCTTTAATAAATTATGTAACTAAAACTATATTAAATATGAGTTAACACACAGATATATATTTTTTTTAATTACTATCGAATTAAAAAAATGTTTCTAATATTTATTGCGACGATTGAGTCTATATATATTTTATGTACAAAAAAAATGCCCTTTCAGTTGTGTTGTATGTCTTCTTAAGCACAGCAGCGCTTTAAAAACGCCATTAGTGCACTGAATGCTTTTTTATGGTCTCGTAATAAAGAAGGAACTCTATAGTTTCGCCATATCCGTCTGTCCGTCTGTCTGTTTGTCCGCGGCTTCAATCAATCGCTTTTAGTAAAAACCTGAAATTTGTTATTGTTAAACATAATAATCACTGTTAGTCTGTCCATCTATCAAAGTCGATTTGCTCCGAATTTTTTGAACTGACCGAAGTTGAAAAGTTAGTACACAAATGAATTTCTGTGATTGAAACACGAACGTGATCTTAAATATGAACTTTGAATATGGAGTCACTTTTGGGAGGCAATTTAAAAAAGTTTTGAATACATATATATTGATATATAGAATAAATATTTAAGAAAAGTACTTCTTTATTTATAATTTACAAGAAAACCTATTAATAGTCTATGGTTTTAAAATAACACGGTAAGTTCCTCGATATTGTGCGTACAAACATATTTGCAGTTGTTTTTCAACGTACACCACTCTTGGTTGATACGTTTGATGTTTATCTGCGACAATAATATTTTGATGTAACCGAGGGCTTGAACAATTCAACTGGAGGCATCGCCACTTTGATATTAAACTTCCTTGGCGGCGGGCCAACCCCGACACCCGAGCGATTTGCCTTTACACTACGACATTTGTGTAAGTTTAAAACCTATTCCAATTTCTAAGGTAGGCTTTAAAGCTAATAACGTTACTGATAACGGTAAAATAGTCGGGACAAGGGTGAAACTTTGGTACTTATTGTATAAGGGTGTAAAATGGCAGATAGTTATTTAGTTGAATGTCTATCTGATCTGCAGTTTTGCATGTTTAGCGATTTTGTAGGTATTTGTACAATTTTTGTACAATGTACTACGCACTTGTACAGCAATGTCTTTGACTAGAAATAGGGTATGAAACCATTGTTCCCAACTAGCTCAATTCGTGTTGCAATTTTGTGCGTCGTTGATTTGAGGTCTCCTAAATGCAAGTTTCAGACATCATAAGCGCGTGATAAAATTAATAATTCAAACTCACCTTGAGCCGAAAAAAACTTAGTGGTACAGACTTGTTCGTGGAGTTAATACCACATCGCTGGCGTTGCATAAGAGAACATTAAATTCACTTAGCTATCACTGTTTTTAATTTGTAGTGAAATGGTAAAAGTATATAACTACAAATTCTTGTATTTTATATTCAACTGGTTTTTAATTAAAAATTCCGTACTTCGTATCGTTGCGCTTATAATACTTTTTCCAAAATGCGCCTCATTTTTTTCCCAAAACGCGCTTCATTTTTATCGTATTATTGAAGTGAAAACTTCTTCAGCACCGTTGTGATTTGAAACTCGATGAAACGAAAAAGCGACAGTAAACAGAGACAATCATCTATAGGATCTAGCATGCAAGAGAATGAGGTAGAATGTGAGATGAAATATAATATCTGCGAGAGAATGAGATAAAATATGACATGAGATAGAATGTGAGAAAAAGAGGTATGTGTGCTTACGTGCACCTGCTTATTGTATCTGTTTAAACTGAAAATATTGAACTTGAATAACAAAATGTAAAATAACTTTTGCATTTGGTACCAATATTATAATAAATATACTCTACAATCAATCTAGTCCTGATACTGTATCTTCTCATTTTCTCGCAGTTTAATTTTCTGAAGGTTTCATTTTTGATGTTTTTGATATATATAATTAAAAAATGTGTCCGTATGTCAGTGTTTTTATTTGTAGTAGTATCTTCTAATGGCGTATCTGTTTTTATTTGCATAGTCATTTAGTAACAATGGAACGTTTTTAATCTAATATTCAGTGGTAATATTACAACGTCCAAATATAAAGTAATAGTTCACTGTGAATTGGTCATACTTCTCCTGCGATCAATTGTTATATGGCGTCTCCACTGAGTCGATTCTATTTCCGATTCGATAGATACTAAGAAGAGTTTGTTAAAAAGAATGAGTCTAAGAAATAAAAAGGATGCCTTTTCTATCGTTATTAGAATGACAACTTTAAAGGAGCGCAAGCAATTATTTTACTTTACTATGAAATAGAATCTAAATAAAATGGTGGTGTAGCTGAATGTTTGCTGTATTATTGTTTGGACGACATTGATGATTAGGAAGTCAAATATTTAATAATAGAAAATATAATTGAATTAGACAATACGAAAACGTGTTTAGAAAGTTATAAAGCACACCAAGTAGTATAGCGTATTAAACAATGTCACAGCTACTAAATATTTAAGAACTCTTTAACAAACGTATTATCAATTAAATGTAAAATGGTTCAGCAATTATTGAAAAAGAGATTGAAAATCATACCAAAAAAAAAAAAATAAAGAAAAAACAACCTTGTATTAAAAATTTTACAAAGAAACTACTGATATTTAGTGATAATGGTGAATATGTGAAATAGATTCGCTTTAAAAATGTGGTCCCATAAATATGGCGATATTTAAAATAGCATAATACGTCTTCGACACTTATAATTGACTAATACAAAAGTAAGACCGGCAAATGTACAATTGACTCCTTTGGGGTTGCGGGTGTCCATGGGCGTCGGTGACCGTCTACTTTCCGATTGACCTTGCTCGTTGCTCGTTGGTTCCTTATAAATCCTTCAAAAAAAGCTAAAAAGAATCAGACTTAATACAGAAGAATATAATTTCATTGTATCATTAATTAGTATGTGCAATTTATATACTAATAATTTTCAGATATGAATGCCAACTGTAAATAATGTAGGTGAGTAGGGACATTGGCGACGCACAAGCTTATGGTCTCGAACGAAGCTGGGAGTCATCGAAGAGTGCTCTCATCGTTTGAGAGCTTCTCGAGCGCTCGTCGGGAGTCGGAGGCTAGTGGTATTAGCGGCATTACGTATCCATGAGGTTTGTCTTTTAAGCTGAAAAGAATTACATTGTTCGTTACCTTGCTTTTCGGGTAAACGGTGAAAGTGCTAGTGCATATTGGTTTTGTATATGCCTATTTTTGTACTTATCTATTACGAATTTGTGTTATCGTGGTTTCCAAAATGAGCCTTAAATCTTGTTTTTCAGGAGAGGGAAAACCAAAACTGTCGTAATATTTTTTCGTAACACACTCTCTGCCTGCTCTGTTTGTACAAAATTTCTGCATCAAATATATACTTAAACTTTAATTTGATTCCGGTGGTACATAGGTATTGTGTGTGTTTTGTTATCATATAAAACACAAGTATTCATTTAAAATGTGTGCTATGCAAAAGCTATTATTTGCATTTTTTCAATTCAATTAGTGTTACATTATTTTCACGTTATACAATTTTTTTGAAGCAAGCGTGATGGCTGTTTGTTCAGCACGTCGGGCGAATCGAGCAATGAGTTTTGCACTCGAGTCAAATTAGACCATTTGCTCAATGTCTCGGAAAGCAAGTTGAGCTGTCGATCCCTACATTATCGTCGAACTCTTGACAAGTTTGTTGG